TTTTTCCTCGTAAATTAAACCTGCCTCGGAAAATAGTCTTTCTGAATAAACAGAGGTGTGATTAAGTATCGTTTAGCAAGCTTACTTAATATAGGAAATCTATTCTTATTGGTACTCAAAGTCCACCATGCATATGGGTTTATTTTTCTGTCAGCCTTTGCTAATGCGATGTTGTGGGCGATTTCTTCAGCAGTGGCATTCTTGGGGTGCTCTTCAGTAGGTTGCTCTATAGATGATTCTTCAAAACATGCCCAAAATTTACTACATATATGTAGGTATGTTGTATAACATGAAACAGATTTATTTAACTTTATTGTTTTCTTTTCTCACAACCTTAGAAGAAATTAGAAATAATTTTAATGTTTTTATGTCGAACTAGCGGCCGCCCGCGACTTCGTACGCGTGGATCCTGTTTTACCCCCTTTTCCCGAATTTTCTTTGCTATAAACCTCACGGAGCCCGAGACCTTTCCAACGAATGCAAAACCGTGGAAATCGGTTCGTGCGTTCTGGAGTTATAGCGTCAGGGAGGAAAACCCGACTTATTTTTATATGTCGAATAGTAATGTCGAGTTATTCGACTATTCGCCAAAGTGAATGGCGATTAATCGGTATTCGACTATTCGCTATAACCACTATTCGCGGCAACTCTAGTACAAATTGAAACTCGTTGTTTCTTATTGTTTTATAATGGTATTTTCTTTTTATTTTACTTATCCTGTTTCTCTATTATTGTAGATAAAGAACAGATCTCGGTGATAAGATTAAAATAATCTCAAGGCAGATTATCTAAGATTACAAAGGGATAGAAAATGATAGCGTAGGCATATTTCATGAGGAAATGGTAAACGGTCATTCTCCGGATCTGGATTATTTTGTTGATTACCCCGACCTTTTTTATTTTTGAATTTAGAGTAAGTTTAGGTAAAACATTTCAAAATAGACATTATTACGAGCATATTTTTTATATTGGCCCATCTGTAGCAAGCAAGAATAAAAAGTTATGCGACATCAAAATTTTCATGGTCGGGGTAATCAAAGTTGGGAGTCAGAGTAATCAAAAATAAAACAAAATATTTTATTTTCTAAGGTTTTTTTTATGTTATGGTAAAATAAATGTTATTATTTTGATGTATAAACGACAATATTGTAAAGTTTCAACAAAATCTGTTAAGTAGTTGTTGCGTAAAAGAGTAAAAAACATACATATACATTATACATATAATATTAGTGACTCAATGTCCTATGTCTCCTATATGGGACAGAAGGCGTCCACAACAGTCCTCCATCGCATTCGGTCTTGAGCTTCGTGTTTGATCTCGCTCCAAGTCTAGTGCGCCGCTATGTTTTTTTGGCGCGACCACGTTTGCATTTTCCCTGGGGGTTCCAATCTAGAGCCTGCTTGGGGATGTGATCGGGGTCCCTTCGGAGAGTGTGGCCTATCCAGTTCCACTTGCAGCGTTTATTCTGCTGAAAGATCGGTATTTCGTGGCAGCGTTCCAAAAGTTCGTTGTTTGAAGATTTTGGAGAATTCGGCGAAGACAGCGGCTGAAGAAGATCTGCAGCTGGTGCGAGATAACCTTAGTGACCTTCCACGTTTCACGCCCATAGAGCAGAACTGGTTTGACGTTGGACCCGAATATTTTGATCTTGCTTGGGTCAATTTCCGTGACTGCCATACGGCTCGAAGTTGTGCGAAGGTAGCTCTGGCCTTGGCAATGCGCGAAGTGATGTCCTCTTCGGTACCTCCAGGCTCTGAAACGATGCTCCCGAGGTAAGTGTAATTGTGGACTCGTTGGACATCATCTGCACCAACGGTGTGCAATTCCTCACTCCAGATCGCATCTCTTGGGTCTTTCGGTACTGATACCCTTGCTTTACCCTTTTTTCGGCACAATAATTAGAAGCCCCTTATGCCAGTCGTCTGGGAGTTCCTCTTCCATCCAGATGTTTTCGAAGACAGGTGTCAGGACGTTAACGGCGGAGTTTACATCGGCTTACAGCATTTCAGCGGTGATAAGGTCGAGTCCAGGGGTCTTGCCAATTTTGAGGGAATATTATGTATTAATAGGAGATAGGATTTCATTTTAGTAAAGGGTAATTTTGCTTATTTAACGTTATTTAGTTAATCATTCATTAGTAAAATTACAGTATTATTGATTACTCGGTGACAAAAGTCGGGGTAATCAAGGTCGGGGTAGTCAAAAAATTAAGGTTTATCCTGAGCCCTGCCCAATCTGTAAGTTGAATCCCATATGTTTTAATACACAAAAATGCGGTTACATGGACCATTATTCCTGTACATTCTCAAGAACTTTCCATGTAAAGAAACCTAAAAAAACAGGATAGAGTAAATCAATCGTGCACTGAACCAAGGTCGGGGTAATCATATTCTTATCTCGATAACTCCGAAATCCTGCGACGAGTTGCATTACCGATCACCTCGGCACGCAGGCCACCACTAAAGGTTCACGGGGGAGGATAGAGCTCGTTTCTAAATTGCGTAGCTAGGGACGTAGGCGCACATTAGTGACGTGTCGGGGTAATCACGGTTAACGCCCGGACACAACTTCAAATAGTTATTTTACAAAACCTTTTAGTCATATAGTTATATCGTATTTAATTTATCAATGTTTATTTAATCAGTAATCGATTACATAAGCATTGAAAGCGGTAATAATAACGGATTAATTTATACGAGCAAATTTGTTCTGAAATCGGGAGCGCGGACACGTCGTGGTAATCAATTTTTGACGACTTACGATTTTTTTTAAATTACTTAATTAACTATTATTAACTATCTGTGTGGTTTAACAACAAGAACCAAAGTTATACTATTAGATAAAAATATTTGTTACTAAAATATTATGATATTCGGGTACTTTTTGGCCCCGGACACGTGATTTTCTTGGCCGGTGGAATGACCCTAATCTATTTTGTAATTTATTCATCCCAAAATTTCTTTCCTGAATGAGGAAATTGAAGTCAATTTCCTTCCTGAAGTAAAATAACTAAAGTAGGTAATATGAGATATCGTAAAATATCTCTTAAGTAGAAAATACTTAGATATATTACTTCATAATATTAGCTTCTATAAATTAAGTACGAATAAATGGAATCTTGATCATCAACTTGAGTGCCTTGAGTAGAGTCTGCTACAGAATATCAATTTCAGGCCAGCCACGCCTTTAAGGCCAAGTTTATTCACCTCACTAAGCTTAAGCTTTCTTTTTTTAGCAAATCGTCATGAAACGCTTGCAACGCATGGTGGAGACGGAATGCGGTGAAGAAGCCCAGACCAACCTGGACACCGGCGTTTTGACAGCTATGAGGGCACTGTGCGCGGCCTTAGAACGCAAGAGGCCTGACGCGTTCAGACACGTAGCCCGTCAGGCCACACGGGCGCCTTCTACAATGCTGCGCTCGGACACAGCACTAGCAGAACTTGCGCTGGCGCTTGCACGGCGCATCACTAGGGATAACCTCACTTGGTCCAAGGTAAATGTTTGTTTTTATAACATTTATTTTAAGCACACTACATCTGAGAATCGATCCGAAGCAACCGTTGCATTATTAACGTCTACCTAAGAGGAAAGCTCTTACGGAATCGCATGCAGTGCATAACCGCCCTTTCAGATGTGTATATTAATCATCAACTTTGCACAATTTAAATGGGTACAACAACTAACATTATATTCATTAAGTTACACCTCATCAAGTTCACTAACTAAAGGATTGGAGCGACAGACTGCCTGAGTCATCTCAGCAATAAACGTGGCCCGGTGAACTCCGTGTCCTAGACATTACGGGGACTACCTAAACTTAATTAAAATCTAAACCAAGTCTAGTAAACCCGGAATTTAGCCGGTGTACTAATTAAGTAATCTAAACCCTTCTAAATAAGGTTTTATGTAGAGTGTAGTAAGTAGAAATTGCTCATTTGAATTAATTCTGGGTAGATTGCTGCGGTGTTTTGCATTTGTGGAGCGCTGGCTCGCGAGGCGGCCGAGGCGGCGAATGGGGAGCCGCCGTTGGAGCTGGTGGCAGCGCCGGCGGCGGCCATCGCGGACCTCCTGCACGAGGAGCCTGGCTCCTGGGTCGCGGCTCGTGGAGGCTGGGTAAGTTCATTCCCATTCCATTCGTTTAATGTATGACCGGCAATTCTAATTTCTTAGCGATTAGAGTCGCTTCTCAGATGGAAGAGCAGTCGCCCGGCAAGCGAAAGGTCGTGGGTTCGACTCCCGCCTTAGGCTTACCTTAAAAAATTAACAGCTATGTATTTTGAGTTGCCAAAACGTTATTGCGGCAATTGAAATCTCGAATTACAAACTAAGGAGTGGGTAAATGGCACTTCTTCCTCTATCCTAAACTTCATCATGTATAATTTATAACTGTTTTGTTTTACAGGAGGGTCTCATCGAGCGCCTCAAAGCCAGCGAGCGCGACCACCGCTCTGAGAAGGCGCTCCGAGTGATGGTGATTTTCTTCGTGGTGGCCTGCTTATTGCTGCTATTCCTGCGATGGGTGCTGCGCGGTCACCCGAACTACCGACTATGACGCTACTAGTATTAAACACAGGGGCTTTGGGGTTTATCCCAATCGAACCATAAACAACAATCAGTTAAATTCTCAAATCTAAATCGACCGGACCGTAATTTCAAAGGATGCTCAACGTCCTTATTGCCGTGTAACGAGGTTCACTAAACAGCTTCATTTCAGTTTCCAATGCGATTTTTTTTCCGCATTTTAAAGTGACATTAGCATTTCCCGGTTCATCCAGACAGTTCGATTGATCTACTTAAATATCGAGAATGTAGCTGGTTAATTAACTATGAAAGTATTAAGTAGGTATGTTAAGATATCAATAAAAACATTTATTTTATATTATGCCTTTTAAATAGCTCTATGTAGGTACACGTCATACCTAACTTTTGAAAAATAACTCTGCCTCAATAAATTATATGAGTCCTGAAAAAACAGCGTAAAAAAACCTCACTCAGTATTTTCAGCCTCTTTCTGTCTAATATTAATAGGAAAGTTTACAAAATGTTTTACTGAAAAATATTTGGTTATAAGTATTCAAATGCGTACCTATTAAATACAATTTATTATTTTTTTACGTTAACACATTTATGCCGTATTAATAAAAGTGAAATTTAGGATTTGATCCATATAATTATTATAAGGAGTGGTTAAAAATCAAGTACATTATAATATCCCCTAATGAAAGCATACATTAAAGTTAATTTTGTAAGATGAATAAAGAGTTATTTATTTATTTATCAACAAAATGTTTAATATAAAATATGTTGTTGCATAACGTTCAATAGACTGCTAGACTTAGGTAGCTAACAATATTGTTTTCATTATACAGGGTGTGTATGAGCCGACACTAGCCCATGTTAACATGTGCATATAAATGGTATGGTGAAGTCTGAAATTTGATATCATCATTTTAGTTTTTTTTAATTTTCATACAAAATAAATTTTATAAAATCCGATTTGTATGAAAATTAAAATAATTAAAATGAAGATATCAATTTTCTAACTTCACCATACCATTTATATGACCATGTTAACATGGGCTAATAGTGTCGGCTCATATACCCATAATCCCTAACCTAACCTAACCTAACACCCTGTATAATACCTATTATTTTAGATTAAATGTTGAATTTGATTTATTTACTACAATATACAACATCCGTAGGTACTTAATTAGATGTTAACTAACATTATTCGATCCTTAATCGTTCGTAAATTCATAATTTATTTTCATTAATATTTAATGAAAACTTAAAATTCAATAGGTATGTATCTTCAGACCTACTATTGTATCATTGATATACAGCTTTTTTCATGAAGAAATTATACAATAATTGAAATTCCTAACCTTCCTAACGTTGAACTGTCACAAACAGCCAAGTTCATGAAATATTAATTTTATTCGTACAATATCTAGGCTCTGGGTCTGATAAAAATTGTTTATTGCTTTTGAAATATCCACTGTATTAAGTATCTGTTACTGTTTCGCTACTTATTAGAAATCAAACCTGAGACCACACCTGAGACTGTGCCTGAGACTATATTACGACCGCGCTTTAGGCAAATTCATTGCATTCATTTCGTAGTCTTAATTTTGTCTGATTTAATTCGATAATTTCAAGAATAATTAATAGAAGTGAGGTAATCCAAAGATAATAAAGTTGACCAATCAAAATAGATTTTTTGTTGCCTATGATAAGAATTTTAAGAGCTAAAACTAATAATATGTGTATGTATTTTATTAATTCATAATAAATGAAACTATAAGTAAGTATAGCCATAATTTATGATAGGTACTATCGCCAACAGTGTTAACTGCCCATTGAAAGTCATGTCATCTCGTTCTATCGCAAAGAATCGCCATTTGATTAGAGCGAGAGCAAAAACGGAAATGGATAGTTAACAGTGTGGGCGTGTGTACATACCTACTGCGTGTAAAGCTTTAAAAATGTTAAATAAATGAAATAAAACTGAAACTCTTGTTATGGTCATATTTTATTTTTCTTAAAAACTCCCCATATAGTAAACAGGATGAAAAACGCGCGCTTTTCTCATTGTTTTTTTTTTTTTTTCGATTAAATTACTCACTAAGGCTGGGTTGCACCATCTTACTGTAACTTTAACGAACGTCAGAAATCTGTCAAACTCCATACAAAAAACACCGGTTATTGGCAAAGTTACGGTTAAAATAAGGTGGTGTAACTCAGCCTAATAACGCTATAGCCTAAGTAGATGAGTACCTAAGTAGTAAAGTGTTATTAGTATAGTTCCAAAATACTGGACTGTCCTGTCGATGACATTGACAGCGGGGCGCCATCGTCAATACCGGATCGCTGGTTCAGATTTTTGCCATGTTGGAAACCATATAGTTGAACGATGGTAGCGCCCCCCTGTCATTGAGTTTGGTGGGACAGTTCAGCGTGGGTCATCTATATTATCAAATCCTTGTCAAATCCTGCAAAATAAATACATATAAATTGTAAAATGCTGGCTACTAAAAATAAAAATCCACTGGCCACTCAGCCGACCACATTTCAGCCTTTAAGATTCGAGATTAATAATAAAAGGAATTTCTTGTTTTTTTGCTCAATGTTACCTAGTTTTTACATTTTTAGAATGAGGCCTTCTCGCGCCATCTTTTCGTTTACGTCAGTACTAAGTCAGAATTACGTAGGTACCCACGAAACATTCCATAAAAATAGATATTACCGTATTTTAGCTAATCTTTGTAGAACATTAAACTTGAACTGACTCACTACAACAATCTCGGTTAGCGGTTAAATTATGTGCAATAAAAAGTATTTTAACCAAAAGCTGTATAAGTACTGTTTTCCATGTCAGAAAAAAACTAATCTGTCACTTGATGGCATCTGTGGTATGGTTCAAAAAACGAAAGAGAAAAGAGTCGAATAGTTATGTACATGTCGTTCAATTATTTCATCTTCCAGAGTGTACCAAATAACGCGACAACGGAAATATTGTTATCAAGTAAGTAAAAAACATAATAACATACCTATTTTATTGTGATACACAATTAATATCAAAATATCATTGAACGGCGCTAGTGTTCCATGCAATTTTACATTAGTGCGAAAGAGAAGTCAAATCTAGTGCATCTGTCATTGACACTTCTTTCTTTAGTCTATTCTGATTTTTAATTGACTGCCCATCATCATTGTCGTAGAATTTATATTTTATTTGGCAATAGCTTCAAAACATTATTGTAGAATCGTAGGCATTATTGACAATATACTTACGACTACCTGCAAACGAAGGCTAAAGTTCATAAATCGGTAGGTACACAGATATTTACTTCTGTTTATCACAATGAATGACGTTTGCTTTAGTCGCAGTGTATAAAATAAATTCTAATTTCAGATATAAATGAGTAACAATGAAGTATTCTTGTGACCGCAAATGAACAGTGAAGATCAAATTATTAGCCCATTACTATTTTTTTTGGAATAGCAGATCGTAGCCGCAATAATGAAGAGTGCATTGCCTAAAGAAAAATCAGGCAAGATGAGAATCAGAGCTTTCCCAGTAAGTCTATAGTTATTAGCATATCAAAACAAGTAAAATGCGACATGGATTACCTTAGCGCCCGTTTGTCGCATCTAACTTGTTCACACATAAAACTGCCTGTCAATTTTGTACACACCATGTTTGTTTTCTACCAAGCTAGTTTGATTCATTGCAGCATTTCATTTATTTTTACCCTCTATCAGTTTTATAAAGATGACTCATTATTTAGAGTCTGTGTATTATAAATTACTCTTTTCGAATTGTTTTTACTATGATTTCATAATCAGATGAAATTATTTCAATGAATAATTTTACGACTAATCCTCACATCACAAGTTGCAATTACTTATAAAATGAGTTGTTGTTTTTTATTGCTAATTTGGTATTATCAGGCTTTGCGTTTTGTCACTATGTACCACTATCATAAGCTATTCAGATTTTGAAACTGATCATTGTTTAACTACCTAACAAATTCGATTAGGTGCATCAAATAAAATCTTTTTGTTTGTTATTCATGTAACCTAGAATCCTGAATGTCTTCTAATATTTTATTATAATGAGCAATTGTCTACTTATTTTTACTTGTTGGTATAAACCCTTATAATAGCTACTCTGTATTTTAATAAAGACACATTTACTCACTAGACAAACATTACTAAAAACAAACTTAATCAGAGCAACATTGTGAGTTGGTTATCAACATTGTAGGAAAATTGTTATGCATTCCATAATAGTTCTCAGTCATATTGTATGTATGTAACATACACAATGTTACACTTATCCAGAAAAAATGTGCAGAAATAGGTTATTTCTAGTTTTACTCAATGATTAAATGAATTTTTGGGGAGGCCTTTGTCTAGCAGTGAACATAGTTTGGCCAAAACTAATGAAGAAAATAATAATACAATTAATAAAATTCAAGTATTGCCTGAAAAAATTGAACTATACTGCTGTTGCCCACAGTATTAACCTTTACGAAAATATGGCAAGAGACAAGTTGAACATATCAATACCTTTTTGTATCTATGATATTTATTTTGTACTGTGGCAAGCTTGATAATGTCATTCTATTCAAAAATAGAAACTGTTTTATTTCAGTTTGGAACAAAATTTTTGTATTTATAATGTCATAATAATATTTTGACAAGAGAGAAAAATCAAAGAATTAGCTAAATATATTAGTTTCTTGCTATTTGATGTTTTGTTTTGATTTTATACAATGTTTGTGTAACTGTATTACAAATTGATCATAACAATATGACTAGAAAATTTCAAGTATGGAACTATTCGGAACCATATTATCAAATGTATCCAGATACATGGGTTTGTTTATATCCTGGTGTTTACTGTTATATCTGTCTGGAATAATGTTTTGCTTAGAAATGCAACTACTTTAACCATTACTTTAATTGTTGGGAATTGAGTGTTCAATGTGTAGGTATGTATCCCTGACAAATAAATATTTGCAGATGACTATGGACGAAAAGTATGTCGAGAGTATATGGAGTTTACTGAAAAATGCAATACAGGAGATTCAAAAGAAAAACAATTCTGGCTTGTCGTTCGAAGAGCTCTATCGAAATGCATACACCATGGTCCTGCACAAGCATGGGGAAAGACTATACACTGGTCTTAAGGAAGTAGTAACTCATCACCTTGAGACAAAGGTATTTTTTTACATTTAATTGTATACTTGACCATAATAATAAATAATGTTCTAACATTATTCTTTTGTTACTTAGGTGAGAGAAGATGTTCTCCATTCCCTCCATAATGGCTTCCTGCAAACTCTAAACAATGCATGGACTGATC